TTAGGTTTTTTGGTGTGTCATATAAAGAGTGGTCAGTATGAAAGAGACCGGATTTCTATTGTCCTCATTCTTTGTAACAAATGCCCCGATTCCTTACTCACAGAACGCAAGAATAATTGGAATGCACTAAAAGCATTTCTTGTTTGAAACATGATTATCATGTTTGAAAACTAAACACAGAAATAAACAATTAAATTAAATTTTAATTGTTATATTTAATTTCCCAACAATTATTTTAATTCGCCTTATCACAAGAAAACAATAAATTTCATAATTACGATTATCAGATACCAATCAATCATTTGTGCAAGATGTCCGAACATCACAATACACAGAAAAACAAATAATGATACAATATGATAAAAACTTATCATATTGTATGATGGTGGGACGGTGTGGCCGAGTCGGTAACGCGGCAGCGCTTGACGCGTAGTGTCTCAGGTTCAAAACTCGGTCACGGGCGGCTTCATTTACCGAACGAGAGATCAGTTCGGTAATTTGGAGTCGCCATCCCACCTCCGGCGACGGACTAACCACCCGTCCCGGAGTATAAATGGTTAAGAAACCTCCTCCTTTGGGGAGGCCGCTGTGGCCCTTAATGGGCTAATAAAAGCGCGTAAAAAAAAAAATGATAAAAACATCCAGTGTGAAACTACTAAATTCTATGTTTGTTGTTATGGATAAACAATCTACCTTTTTCCGAAATCAGATCTGATTAACAATCAACACATAAAATATCAAAATCCATGTTGTTACAGTATGGACCCATCTTGTCACAGGACATACATTATAAAAAATATATTTTTAAGGCAAGCTTTAAAACTATACAAATTTAACTTCACTATACCACAATGCTACAACAGAGAAATTCAAATATAAAAACAACGCCTTCTGGAAGAATGTTAAAAGAGTGTGGAACACACAACAATCATGCCCTAACTACTCATTTAAAGAAAATCATCGAAACCTCGTATTGTATAATTGTCACCTTGTAATATATAACTATAGATATCCTATGGACGTAATACAATATTTTAAATCAAAACCCATATAGTTTCAGGCTAAACAATAAGCTAACTATGCCGAATGCAATGTAGAGTTTGATATGAGGAGATGGTACAATGCTATATTTAGACCGAATATACCGTCTGATGATGGTCATATATATTGGGATTGGTGACTAATTAATCAAAGTTTGACAAAAAAATCTAACAAGAAATATAAATGCCCCATAAGAAATTATTGGAATCATAAAATTTTTTTAATATTAATAAAAAAAAAAGCCAATGTGAAATTTACAGATTTAAGCATTTTAAATAAATAAATTTTAATGTTAGAAAATAAAGGTAACATTTCAAAAGGTCCATGTGCTTTCTGATATAACCAAACGTTTATTATTCATCATCAAGAGTGGTACTTCTCATTAGCGTTGATTTTAACTATGTCATTCACGGATATATTTTAATTATAATTATAATGCAGAATATTATGAATCTATAATATTTGATGCCTGTAATAATTTTACAGAATGCAAAAAAACATATAAGGACATTTTTTTAATCTCAAATAATCAACAAACAATGACACACCTCAAATACAATTAAAAGTTCATTCTTTCATTTATCCAGATATCAGTCAATCATTTGTGCAAGATGTCCGAACACCACAATACACAGAAAAACCAATAATGATACAATATGATAAAAACATCCAGTGTGAAACTACTAAATTCTATGTTTGTCGTTATGGATAAATAAAAATATACATGTTGTTAAGCTGGTCCTATATTTAGCCCTAGCTTATCGTCTGATGATGGGTAGGCCAAATGGAAAGGCTTTCTTATTAATAAAAACATTACACTTTCATTTATCCAGATATCAATCAATCAACACTTCAAAATGTCTGATGATGTTCTCGACTTTCCAAATATTGATTACATATCTTCACATTACTTAGGAATACGTATATTCACTCAATATCATGAAAATATCCTATATGAATCTTCTTAAATCTATGTTTGCTGTTATAGACAAACGGTCTACCTTTTTCTGAAACCAATTCCGATTAACAAACAAAATATCATAAATCAAAAACTTAAATATTGAAATTAATGCCATAAAAAAAAATCCATTTGTATTGTTATAATATATACACCACTCATTATCCAGTAGTCTATAAATGATTGTCTGTTAGTCATTAAATTTAAGTATTTTGAGAAAAATATATTAAAAATTGATAAAATCTTAATGTAATAACTATAAAGAATTTTCTAATTGCTAAAAAATAGTGACAAAGAATAATAATCTGTAATAGCTAACATATTTGAGTAATAAATAGAATACAGTTAAAGCTCAACACTTCATATACATAAAGATAAGTTAAGTTTAATAAAACAGGACACAAAACTGTCACTGCTACTTACTTCTTTTTTACCTTATAATCTTTTTAACTAGTGCAAGAAGTGTGCTGGCAAATACTATACATTACAAAAATAAACTAATATTTCACAGAAAATTTATAAGATTTAAAGTTAAGTATAATGAATGCAGAAATTAAGTAGGGAATCAGAAAAAGTAAGTGACCACTAAAATAAAATATTGTTAAAATTAAATAAACCGATAATGTTTATACATAGCTAACCATCCTAGTCCAATCTTTGCGTGGGTAACCTGTGTGATCAATACAAATGAAGACTATTTTGCCAAGATAGAGAAACACTTGTGGCACAGACACATATGAAAATATAGTTTGTGCTTGTGGTTCCTATTCTACTTGAGATATTTATTGACATGACTTACAATTAATACAATCTAACTACTGATACAAGTGAGACATTATTGACACATAAAATATGATAATTAATCACAAAAATGCCTGTTTAAAATTATTATTATATTAAACATTTTTTAGACACCATTGTTTTTCTATCGAGAGAAAAATTATATTATATCATTTTATTTAATAAATACATAGTAATTCAACCATCTTTATGCTCGGCCCCGACCATAAAATATATAATACTTATTTTGAGTAACTATAATATCACAAATAAAATGTATGTATCATATATTGTTGATTATACACATAATTTGTCATATTTTAAATATCTTATTAACAATGTTATATTTACATTTGTAAAAAATGGTATTAAATTGTAATAATTTAATACCATTTTGCTGTATACAAAATATTATATTGAATTACATAATTACTTATCATAAGAACCAATTTATAAAAAAAGTTATATTAGTATAATTACATAATATTTGCATATTGTCGTATTATTTCATTAAATATTGATGTTGTCTGGGAAATTGTGTAGCTCAATATACATAGAACAGTAAGCGTTAACTGCTGTAGAACCGTTTATCATTTTAAAAAGAAAATTGTTTCGCACAAATAATAAGGGTCACAACGTGAAATACAAACATTCAATAAAAGAAAAGATTTGAACAACTAAAATTGTAATCGATTTACGTTAAACTAACATGCAACGTGCTTCTTTCGGACGTGTTGATTGAGCGGTTAGTGATGTTAACAAAAAAATAATAATAATAAAACGGATATTAAACGATAAGGTATCACAAAAGTGACTTCAACGAATATTAGCGGCGGGTCGTCGTTGGCCATTGCTGCAATATCTGGACTTTGTAACGTGACGTATTGCACGCGGTTTTGATCAGTCAAACTACCAAATATACGTTGAAAGGCAGTGTCTGATGAAGGAGGCGAAGGTCGCGGGGTCCCGTTTATCACGAAGCGATGTGGGACCGTGTCATAATAAACTGTTATAAAGAAAATGTTATAGTCTAATATTTTCTAATGAATGCCATAAAAAATTATTATTATTTGTCATTGCAAAATACGAAACTATATAATATTTCATTTTCTAGTTAACCTTTACTATTATATATTATCATATGCTTTATCACTATTTATTGACTCTCTAAAATATTTATGGCATATTAAAAATTTTTATTATTAATCTTTATAACTTTTAAAAATATCTATTTACTACTTTTGTCAAAAAAACTAAAACCTAAGGACAGAAAGTTTTTAAAACAGACCACCTTCGCATGTAAAAAATTTTTTTTGTACTCGATTTTTAAAAATGTTCCGGTACGACTGACCACTTATAACCTGTATCAAATTAAAGCTTTTAAAGTGTACTAAAATATTTTTTAAACATTTTATCCGACGATTATTCTATTGTACTTAAAAGAATTTATGTAAAATCAGCAGTTAAAGTAAAAAAAATCGCAATTTTTCAATAAAATACTTCATTTTTAATTAAACAAATAATTTACCTAGCCTTTAATATTAGAACTAAATTGTAAAATTACAAATATACAAATTATTCTAAATTTTAATAGATTTGTATTGAAGCGCTTATTTTATGATTGTGATCTTAATCACTGTCAGATATCTTTACTTGTCTCAACTATGATGCGCCTCGTTATGCTGTGACCTCACTGTGCTGGATTTCTTTATATTTATATAAATAAAACGCTTAAAATAAAGTAACAAGTAATTTTTCAAAATTACCCTTAAATAATTAATTCCAATAAAAATAAAATTTTATTTTATTTCAGTATTGAAAGTACACTAGAAAATAATTGTGGAAAAAAACTCACTAATCTTAAAAACTTTAACATAAGAAATTTCGTTTATATTTATTGGTATTCGTTTTAAAATAATTATTAGAGTGTTGTATTTACCATTACACTTCAAAAAAGGTATCTTGCTACAAAAGTTGCTAAATAGACATTGCTAATGCAAAAATTGTGTTTGAAGCGCACTATCAGTAATTGTAGTCGCCCTCCTCTCTCCGACAACCGACTCTAACCTCTCCTCACAGAGTATCAATGGGTAAGATAACCTTCATTTTAGGGAGAATGCTATGGGCCTTTAATGGGCCTGGGGAGCAAAAAAAAAATGTTGTTTAAAATATTTAATATGTAATAGGTTTTAAAAACATTATTATTTATAGATATAAAATATAAAAGAAGTACAAAGTTCATTTAATCCAATAGTCAATAAATAAAAAATTGATTAACAATTAACTATTCTCTTGTAGTACTTACTTACTTAGTGTTCCTGAAATGTATTACTATTTTGGCCAAACATTCTTTTCTATCCACGATATATATTTAGAAATTTTAGTATAAACCCCAGGTGCATCTTTTTCACCACATAATTTTCCAAATGATGTTATTCCTATTTGAGTGTACATACATGAATAGTTAGTGTTTTTAATTTGAATAGGCCCTCCAGAATCACCCTAAATTTAATAGAATATTTTAATAATATATTATTTCACTTTATTTAATGTTAATTAGAAATTATTGCAAAAGAACTTACTCCACAAGTATCTTTTCCACCTTCAGTATGGCCAGCACAAATTTGACTTTCATTTAGTATCCCAAATGCTAGTTTTATTTTAGTACGAGTATCAGAATAATCAGTATAAGAATAATTAATATTGCATTGATCTATTGGAACAGTATTTAATTCTACTTTTAATAAATGAGAACTTGACGGTCCACCTATAATTTTTAAATATGAATTATTTTTTCAATAACAATTAAATTAAATTTTTAAATATACAAACCGTATTTTATATGGCCCCATCCAGTAGCTACTACATTTTGAGGCTTCAGATTTTGATCAATATTTAAGCAAATAGGTCTTACATAAGCTGAAAATTCTACAATTCTATCTAACTTGAATAAAGCAATATCATTATAGAAAGAAGGAGCCTGATAGTTGGGATAAATAACACGTTGAATTATTTCATAATTTCTAGGTTCGGCATCATCATTATCGTTTTCAATATCTAGATCTCCTAGACGTACCCAACGGGCAAGCAATGCCCTTTTAAACACAATTAATTGTATTAGTGATAATAAATTTTTTATCATGAAAATCTACATACTTTCCATTTTTTTCACAATGAGCAGCAGACAGAACCCAAGTATTACTGATTAATGAACCTCCACAACTCCATATGACTTGTTCAATTGTATCACCATAACCTACTCGAGCCTGTACAATTATTAGTCCAGAACTTTATTATATAAAATTAAGCAATTTTAATAAAATAAAATAATAAACTAATTAAATTCCTAAAAACAAAGTGTGCTTTATCTAATTAATTAACTGTAATATTTATGTAATAACAATTCATTTATTTTTATGTTGTATTATTACCATATGTGGAAATTCTTTACCCTCGGCTTTAGTACCACCAACAATTAATTTTGTTATTTCTTGACAATTAAGTACTTTAATGTATTTATTACGCGGTGGTTTTAAAGTTAGTTTTAATTCATATGAATAGATCAATTCTGAATATTGATGACACACTAAAACATTAATTATTATACAATTATATGTTCACAATTATGGATATTTTTTTACTAGATATTTACTCTCAGTAGCAGAGTATGTTTGTACATTCGTCTGATTATTTAATGGATTTTCTCTTGGTTTTTCATCGTAGCTCTGTGGTGGACAACAAATTACTGGATGTGATCTATCAAATGAACATAATTTTGGAATAATACTTTGTTCGATTTGTTGTCTACCCTCAGGACAACTATCTAAACGTTTACAATAAGAATTGGAAGCCTCTCCATTTTCCCCTTTAAGACATATCTCACCTGCGTGTAACAATTAAAATATAAAATACTGAGAAATATATAAAAATGCAAAAATAAATTATAATATTAGAAAACATGTTTTGTTAAAAAAAAAAATCAAAGGTTTAAATATGAATTCAAAATAAAAATAAAATGGGTAAACAAATGCTTTATTAAAACATATAAGTATCCTAATTTCAATACACTAAGTTATCACCTGGATTCAAGTTTAGCAAATAATCTTGCCCTAAAGTAGATGAATAAAAAAAATGTAACACTAATATTATAAAAAATATCATTGATCTCGACATCGTTTATTACAAATACTCGGTGAATGGAAGTAAAGTATTCGAAAATGGTTTGCTTTTGTATATGCTATTATAGATTACAAGACATTCCTGAACCAACGTAGCATGCAGATTAACGTTCTTAATTAATACTATAGAATACGATCCAATACATTCAGTAATAAACATGAGTTTAAAAAAATAAGGAATACATATTATTAAAGTGCCCCCACTATTTAGTGATCACTGTAGTTTCCTTGTTCCAATTATAACTGCTACTTACAATTTTTTGTTAACTATAATTTCACAAAGGTCGTGTATTTAAATTAATTTTATAATATTAAGTTACTAACTTAAATTTCACATATTAAATCCATATAATTAAAATTGCATCAATAATATTTAATTTAATATCAGATTTACTAAGTATGAACAAACAAAATATTTATGCTGTATAGACTTGTGAATATGATTTATAAATAAAAATATAACGATCTGATATCATAAATAGCATGTTACGTTTATTTTATATATTACTAGTAGTATACAAAACACTTATTAAATATAGTGTTCAATTATTTTTACGTATCTATATTTTCATACTTGCTAACCCAAAATTTTGATAAAGTTTATGGAAATATTTTCTCTATGTAACTTAAATTTTATGCACATAATCAAGTCTGTGTTATTAATTATTGATTTAAGAAGCGCTTTGTGTATACAATAGGTGCAACTAAAAAAAGTTAATTAAAATTAAATTACTCTAAGAGTAACTTAAAACATATATATTTTAATATATCTGAAATTAAACCATACGATTTTTTCTTAAAAAATAATTATTAATTAAATAAAGTTTAGGTGTAGCTTTTAATAAAAATTTTCATTTATGTTATGATTAACACCATTTATTTGTTCTAAATCCATAATAAAAGAAATTAGGAGTATATGTGCAGTGTAAGTGTGTATATTGACCAAGAATGGATGTTTTAGGATTTAGTCAATTGGTGAGCAGAGGTCGATCGGGGTTGTAGAGTTAAAGGGTTTAAAACAATAAAGACAAGTAGATAAAAAAATTAATAATTAAAGTTCCTCTTATGGAGGTATTATAAATGACCCAACTGGTAAGTACCTGTAATAAATACACTGAAGGGATGGCCATCTCATGAATACCCAGTTGAAGTGTTTATATGTACAGAAGAAATCATATTAAGTTTTTAAACTCTTTTAGGCAACGAAGAGGCGGTAACCATCTCACGAATATCATGAAATATGATTATGTATAAGATACGAAATAGTCAGTAATAATTAATTAAAGTTTGAAAATTAATATAAATATGTGATCTATTGTTTTATCGTTCTTTACTCAGATTATTAATTCTAAATAATTGGGTTAGTGTATTGTAACACAAAACTTAAGTATTGGCTCTTATTGATTTGAAATCTTACCTGATCATTTTTCTAAGTCTTATAATAATTTCAGTGACAATATTAATAATTGATAAACAAAGTAACACAAATTTAAGTTCATAGTTTGTAAATTAACACGTAATACTTTCAACAGTGATGATCACAATTTCACGTGATGATGTTAAGAGCGCCGTTCGAATAGACTAAAACTTTCAGCACTGACTGTGAGGGATTGTTTTGCCTTTTATAGTATTTTTTATCCCCGAACAATCATCATTGTCTCATTCTTGCAGTTTTATTATTTATTGATAAGTAAGCATAAAATATATAAATTAGTACATGTTTATTTTTACAATTAGGGTTAACACATTGTGTTTTATTATTAAGATAAGAGTAAAAAGAGCTGACAAGTATAATTTATAAATTTCTTCTTGGAAGAGAGTGATTCTTAAAGGTGACTAATAATTGCCTTATGACTGAATCGTGTGTAATATAATATAATCAAACAATAGTAGACGTTTGTTAAATATTTCTCCAAGTTATTTATCTAAATTGTTTGTTAAAAAACAATCATGTTATTCTAAGAATAAGAATATAATTTATAAATAAAAGTGTTAATTATCTTAATTGAAAAGATAAAAGAACGACCATTATTGTGGACACAAACAGAGTAGCCAACTGTTATACCATATTATGATAATGACAAGTATATTACGACAAATCATATTAATTACTATTAACTACGTATGACTATTACTTAGCAATGACGAGCTTAATAATAAATACAACATTAGATTGTAAAATGTTCTATTCATGGCCAGCTAAAATCGTATTAGGAACCACTGTGCGATGTGGATCCAGTAAGATGAAGTTTTTGTGAAAAAAATTATTATTTAATCATAATCTATAAAGATATACCTTCAGAGGGATTCACGTTTATAATTTACTAGGGTTTCATAAATCTGACCCAAAGGATCAACTGCTCTGGAAATTGGAAACTTATGAATAAAATATTTCATTAATTATCTTATAAAATAGCCAAAAGTTATATTAATTTAAAAGATGATTTTACGATTGCAGAACTCGTGTAAAGATATGAAAAAATATAATGAACTTTTATTTTTGACACTAAAAAATGTTTGGTAGAGAACGCCTTTAACAAAGATCTAGTGGACCAGTTGTCCAACATCGTTGAAGACCAATCGCGTGACAGCTGATCTCTAGCGTGTTTGCTTTACTAGCCCTGTCGGCCACCGGGCACGGCAAATCGAAGCCGATATTTGTCAACGAATATGTAATGTAAGTTTTTTTCGTTTAAACAGCAAGCGCCTCCGCTTGTATGTTATTATTCGGCCATTGTACGCTATAATTTTATTACTTGTTTTGTTTCACACTTGTGCTCACTCTTTAGGCTCCCGTGCCTTTGCATGCCATCAGTGATTGGGCCGTGACAATTACTGAAAAAAATTTACCGGCATCAAGTTTTCGTCCGCCATTGCGTGAGAGTTTTACATCACTCTGGTGGCACTTAATTACTTTCGGTGACTATTTGCGTTTGTGTTCAGCTTTTTCATATGAGGTCATCATCAGTCGTTAACGAGTTTTAACCACTATCATCGACGACTTCATTTATTTAGTTAAGTTTCTATTATTTTTTAATGTTATTTATTATTTTATTTTAATTGAGTTTGTTCATTGCCGCATCGACGGGCATTAGCATTTCAAGCACCCCGCTACCCCTAAAATCTAAGATTCTTATTGGATATCCTTGTAATGTATGTGTTTATTTTTTCTGTAATTTTTGTTTTTACTTCATTTATTGGATGTGCAGATAACTGTTATTCACCCAGGTGACTTTGTTCATCCGCTTCTATAGCGATCAAACAAGTTTAAGACAAGACGGCAATCTAGTGCGGTGAACAATTAGAGCCGTTTTACGATCTAGCTGCCTCGTATGAAATACTAAACATTGTAAGTACTATTTTGATATCAGTATTTAATTAGTATATTGAACTGTTTCAAACCATACTACTTGCATACAAAAGATCATTACCTAAACGATACAGGTGATACTTATCATGAACCACTTAATTGAAAAATAAAAATAACAATAATATTTTTATTAGTTTCTTTTAATTAAATGTTTCCCCAATTTTTCAATCATAAAATTTTATTTATATTCGTCCCATATACCTTATAGAGATATCAACTTTAATACATCAAATGACTATACATATAATTAACTAGCTTATTTATTAGATAATAATCTAATTTAGAAAATTACGGGTCCATAAGGTAGATAATATTTTTGCTGTATTTTGTGTATAGTGCCATATTTTGTATTGATTGATGAAACGTAGTAAGTACACAAAATTATTTATTTACTTCAATTTTGATTATGTTCCAAAACGTCTGTATTCTTTAAACCGAATACAAAATAAATCATTTACAATGTATTTTAAGATTAAAAACATCCTGACAACATATCTTCTTAAAGTTATGTCGAAATTTGTAAAATGTCCATTAAAATATTTGATATTTTTTTTTTAGTCTTTGTTTATAAATAATCGCATCGAAGTGTTTTATACTAGCGATCTTTACTGTCAAACTTCAATATATACTGACTAATAGATATAAAATTCTCTACAAATATTCATATACTACATACAATATAAGAAATTTAACACTTTAAATTCAATGTTACACTTAATATACATATTCGTAATTTAAGAAATACACGGTTTTTGACTCTAATTATATGTCAATATGACGTTAAATAAACGTTATATTCTATAAATTGCTATCTAAGACGCTATAAATAATTTATAGCTAAATATTGACGATATACAACTTAGTGTTTTATTTTTAGGGTAAATTTAGTAGTTTTTTTTATCATTTACAACTTTGTCTATTAAGCCCAAAGGTTTAGGAATGGATTTTATATAAACTTGGCTATTAACATTTAAAAAAATGTAAGTTAAACATTGAATTAAAAGAAATCAATAATAATTTTTATTTTTTGATTATTTAAGTGGTTCATGATAAGTGAATCACTCTGTAGTGTGTACTGTAGTAATTAGGGTAGTATTCATAATACTATCTCAATTTTCCGTTAAATAATAATTTTTTTCGTATAAATTTCATTTATTTTTATTAATTATGTTAACTATCAAGTAATAAAAACTTATTTCTAAGGATAGATAACCTGCACCGGCATACGAGTTAGTCGTCCGTCGTGACCTGAAGGTGCTCGTAAACATTGCTTTGTTTATGTATATTATTTGTTCATTTTAATGAGTTGTCTAACAAAATATTCAATGAGATGATAGATTAAAATTAAAGATCTGTGTCATAATTAAATACTTATATTTTCGAAATTTTTCATTTTTGTGTTTTTTTTAAATTTAATCTAACCTTTTAGGCGATTAGTATTTAGTTAAGAAAAGGTTAACAAAAGATAAACGGGAATCTACAATTATTTTTATACAATTAAATAGAAAATGATCTAAATAAAACTTTGACCAGTTTTGTAATATTATTTGAGATATTAACATTAAAAGATTCCAACAAGGTTGGGGAACAGGAAGTATAATATTACTCAATTTTTACCTTAATAGATCAAATACTACTATATGCAATCTGTCTTGTTAATACCTAAAAATTATAGAAACTAAAAAATAGTAATTTTATCAGCTACAATATATCTTTAGGTAGGGTGGTCCAAAATTTTCATTTTATTTTTATTTTTGATCGTATTGCTATAGTAGCTATTAATTGATATAAAAACACTAAAGAAATTAAATTCGGAAAAATTTTCCTAAACTTCAAATTAGAGACACATTGTAGGTTAACAACTTGCTATCTTAAAGTTTAGGTAAAATATACTTTTTGTTCATTTTTATATCTTTTGACATAGATATTTCATTGAGAATAATTCAAAAGATATGAAAATAATTTACATAAAAAAAACAAACAATGAAGTAGTACTAATTAAAATTAGTTAAAAATTGACCTAGTTATAATATTTTAAATATAAAAATTTTTGTCTTAAAGTTTACAATTTTTTTAACAATAAAAAAAAAAATATTGTGTACATTCAACTCTGTCTGTAGATATATAAATACAGACAGACAAAAGACAAAAAAACATAATACTCAGAAACGAAAAGTGAACTTAAGTTTTCTTAGTTATTTAATGTTCATTATTTGAATTATTTAAAAACATTCAAAACTTGGTAAACAAACATGTTTATAAAATTATAAATATTATTATGTTGAAAAACATATATTTGAGAATATCATAAACAGAAGTTGTAAACATATTTTATAGGAAATGTTAATCAATAATTCAAAATGAAAAAAATTCAGCATCGGTTTGTCAACAATTTTATTTTGATTCATTTAATAAGGTAAGTAAAGTTGATACTTAAAAATAATGTTTTTGAAAATATAATTTAAAAAATATATTAAATACTAATAATTTATTTCATTAAAGAATTCTTTTTAGTGTACTTAGTAATTGTAAAAAATCATAACAGAAAAAATGTATAATGAAAAAATAAAATTTAATACTAAACAGTATTATATTTTATTTATATTTTTTGTTTTTATACGAAAATTTTTGTATAAATATTTAATTTATTAATAATAATTGTTTTATGAACTCATTTTTTAAAATTTTCTGTAGCCTAAATAGTAAAGGCCAGACTGTATAGTTCATTGCGCTCGTATTACAACTACCGCTACCCAAATATAAGTGACGTCATTGACTAATTTCAAATACCATTCCAAATACATATATATATATATATATCATATTTATGTCAGTGTTGTAATTTACATAAAAAGTAGTTTTAATAAAAGAAAAAAATGATAGCAAAATTTGATTTGATTCTTATACTTTTTATTTTTTTAGAAACTACAAAAGCCGGTTGTATGTGTAAATCATCCCAATCAGATGTTGCCTATCAGTTTCCATGTAAAGCTACAAAATTAATGTTGAAATATTTTCTTAATCTAATACAATATTTCAATACTATTTTTGATATCGACAATCCTCAATTATCAAGTATCGCTGACCTTAGAGCTCACGGAAATAGCATTCAATTTTGTGGTAAACTTACAATGTTAATTCTCGATGAATTACGAAATAAATACAACTTCCAACATCATGATCATTTAATGGTAATCAATTTATATTTGAACAATACTTCTGAAATAGAAATTATGTATAAGAAACCCAACAAAAATAAAAATCCACCAAAAATAGATCTAGATAAAGTAAAGAAAATACTTGTAGAGTTGAAAAATGGTCAAAATATGATTGTGAAAAATCTATCGAGTTTAATAAAAAATATGTGTGTAAATTATGCTGACGGTAATTCTATTAATAAAGTCATAAAAAATGGCATGTCGAAAATAACGAAACGTATAAGTTTTAAAAGCGGTGTTGAATTAAAAATCTTTACCTTAAAAAATACATTAGCCAGAAATCGGCTTAAAATCCGTAAACTTGTCAAAAAAAGAGAAAGAGACTATAGATATTTGGACTTTCATCCGATTAATTTGTTATTTTTTAAATTATTGTCTAAAAATAAAATTAATGATAACGTTATTAAAATATTGACTACAGATAAGAATATACATAATTACATTAATGTGCCTTATGAGACCAACGATGAAACTGTAGATAGCCTAAATTTAATTAGTAACATAAAAATATTAAATAATACCGGTGTTACGGTAACTTTAGAAAAATTACTTTCCGATTATATGGTATTCAATTATAACACCGCTATTATGAACGAATTTCATAAAATAGTATTTGCTGCTACTATTCAACCATTTTTTGTTGCAATAGAAACATATTATTATATGATTTCAATAACTCTTCCTAACAAAGATATAAAAAAAAATTTGATATATGACATAGGTAATACCTTAAATAAATGTTTTGAAAAATTTATTCAATTGAATATTTTTCCTTCTTACATATCAAATGATTTAAAAGATATAATGAAGTATTCGATATTTTTTGTTAATCAAATGGAATTAAACAATGTAGTAGTCAATAATTTAAAAAAATTTAAAAAATTTAAAAAATTTTCAAAAACCATGACTAATATGATGAACATTGATAATATTGAATATAATATACCGATCAAGAGTTGTGCATATGAAAATATATCTGATTTAATTGAAGTAATTCAAAAAGTTAAAAATCAGATTGAAAAGTTGGTATGGTATGTAGAAACACTAAAAAAATATACAAATGTGTATAAAACAGTACTTCGAGTTATTCCGCCAAATTTTAATGCTAATAACAGAGTTCCAATAAATATAATCGATTATTACCAATCAAGTAAGTTACATAGTTAAATTTTAAATCTTTTAAGATTTTTTTTTTAATTAAAGAGGACAAAATTTAATGGCATCTTACACACGGACTAAACTAGCAAAGGTACTGCAGCACCCAAAGTTCTCAATCGACACTCCAATAAAAAATCAGTACCCTCAGTTATAAATACTAAAATTTGTCTAAAATAACCCTTTTTCATTTTATTAAGAATTTTTTTTATCAATAGTTAATATTATACATAAATAATAAACAATTTTTTTTTACAATTTGATATAACTATATGGTAATTTTGATAATCAAAAATACAATTATAAGCCGAACCGAAAAATTATGTTAATATAACGGTTATTAGAAAAAAATATACATAGTTTTTTATTCATTTACAATGGGCCTAGTAAGTAATTATTTAAGGAATTTTACTTGAGGTTTGTGAGTATAACTCAATTTTAGCACCCCTATTATTTTCGCTTTAGTTGCACCAATATCCATACATGGATCTACATGAAATACTTTTTTTGAAATTACTATAAATAAGTATTTTATTATAAAAAAATGTACTCCACATCTTCTCCAAGAAATTATGAATAAGATACATTATTTACAATAAATATTAATGTACATAAAAATATCAACTTATTACGTTGATATTTTAGCTTCGATGCGAAGCTGAGAAGGTATTGGTTTTACTATGTTTTTTTTTTTTTGTGTCTGTTACCACTTTTTCTCAGCTCTCACCGAACGGATTTCTTTCAACAATACGTCAAAAGATCACAAATTGTATCTAGTCGAAGACATTACCCTTCAAAATTGAAAAAATTTCCCTCGTTCCCCGTAAATAGGGGAAACCTCCAAAAAAATTAAAAATTTAAAAATCCCTAATTTTCGAAATTTTTTCAATTTTTTTTACTAAAAACTGCCGTAACTTTTTCAAAAATGAACATATCAATATAACTTTTTTTTTTATAGATGCTTGATGTCTTTACCTATTATTTGGTATATTATTTTTGTAAATTTGACCTTTTTTCTGCCCACAGTGGGGGATTTAAAATGACAACTTTTTCACAAAAAATTAACTTTTTCAACTTAACTTTTGAAAATGTTCCGGAAGGTCTGACACTTTTATATATATCTTAAATTAAAGCTAATGTAATGTACTTTAATTTGAAAAAAAAAAATTTGACCTCTGGACTTGTCTTCACGGCGAAAATGGCTACCGAATGCTATTTTCGTGTGAAAATTCTCGATTTTATTATTTATATTATATTTAACTTTATAATGCTATAACTTATTGAAAAGTTTATGGATCCACACAATTTTTTTATGAGAAATAATATTTTTTAATAAACCCTTTTTCATTCGACATACTTTATCTTAATCGAGATATTAATAAGGAACCAGCAGATCAAGTAGCTTTTGGAATAAAACACCAATTTTTTTAAAATTAAACACTATCTAAAGATTTGCATCGAAGCGTTTATTTTTGATAGTGATTTTAATCACTGTCAGATATCATTATACTTGATCCAACTATGGCACGTCACCACTGTGCCGCGACCCCCCTGTGCTGGTTTTTTTTTAATAATTTAAGTAAATAATTAAATAAACGCAATTTTTATTTAATTTAATCTGAAAAAATCAGCAAAACTTAAACACGTTTTATGTGAAATAACGGGTTTTCTACTGGCTTATTTATTATGTTACAATCTATTGGGTAATATCATTAATATTTGTATTTATTAAAAATATTTAAAATTTAAAAGAGAAACAAAATTATTTAATCAAATTATCATAATTTATAAAATTATTATAAATTATTATTATTAAAAATTTATTATAAAAAAATAATAATAAAAACAGTCAATAAAAAATATGTAATCTAATCCTTCATTATTTAAGATAAATAATTTAAAATAAGGTTACCATGTAATAATTATTTTTGTATTATTAGTAAAAACTCAAGTCCAATAAACATCTAATATGGAAGCTTATGGGCAAATTAAATACAATAACATGATTAAGCCGAAAATGGAAATTTTAGTCTCTAAATGATAATATAAGTAAAAATTAAAATAAAGTACTGTGATTTTTAAATTTTTGGAAATGTAAATAATGAAAATAGTCATTCCTGTCTAACATTTATAAAATATCATTAATGTTAACATACTATGGTTAAGGAATGAAAAATTGTACAATAATTTTTTTGTTTTATATATACTCTTTTAAATAAAATTTTATATTTTTTAGTTTCGATGCGAAGCTGAGAATGTATTAGTTTTATTATGATGTGTTTTTTTTTGTGTCTTTTATCACTTTCTCTTAACTCTCACTGAACCGATTTCTTTCAACGATACTCAAAAGATTACAAATCGTATTTAGTCGAAGACATTACCTCGAAAAAATTTCCCTCGTTCCCCGTAAATGGGAGAATCTTAAAAAAAATTACAAATTTAAAAATTGTTAATTTTCAAAATTTTTTTTACTTAAAACTGCCATAATTTTCAAAAATGACCAAATCAATTTATTTTCTTTTTATAGATGTACGATATCTTAGTCTATTATTTGATATATTTTTACCTACCCATAGGGAAGGATTCAAAATGACAACTTTTTCATAAAAAGTTTTTCAACTTAATTTTTGAAAGTGTTCTGGAAATATTAACACTTTTATATATATCTTATATTAAAGCTTATGTAATATACTTTATTATCAAAAAAAAAAAATTCAGACTTTAGTTTGTTTTCATGATGAAAATGGACAACAGTTAATAAAAAAATACGATTTTTTTTTTAAATTCTATTTTTATTTTTAATTTTGTAATGCTATAACTTTTTAAAAGATATATGGATCAATACAACTTTTTTATGATAAATACTATTTATATCCCTCTTTCATTCGACATACTTTTTTTTAAATTAAACCATTTCCCTTTATATATTTATATTTTATAAATATATTATACTTAAAAATCATAAAACTTGTAATCAGAATATAAATAAAGAAATAGATCATGTAGCTTTTGGAATAATCCATTAATTTTTTTTAATTAAATATTATCTACAGATTTGCATCGAAGCGTTTTTTATTATAGTGATTTTAATCACTGTCAGATATCATTATACTTGACCCAACTATGCCACGTCCTCATTGTGCTGGATTTTTTTTATAATGAAACAGCACAATGATTTGGCTTATTTTTTTATAATTTTTAGCTTTGATGGGAAGTTAAGTAGGTTTTATTTTGTGTTGATATACATTTTTTTTGTCTGTCCGTGAAAAGTCTCAACTTTCTCTAAATAGTCTTCTTTTGTTTATTCTTCAAAAGAACAGAATTATAATATTTGAACCTATTAGCACCATAAATTTGAAAAACCCCTTAATTTTAGATATTTAAAAAAATATCTCAAAATACACTACTATAAAAAATTATTTTCAAAAAATAGATCTTTAATTTTAAAAATGCTATAACATTAAAAAAAAACACTGATTGTAATAAAATTTTAGAAACCATAAGCTTTCTTGTAGTATACTTTTTGTGAAAATCTAATGACTAACTTAATGATTTTGCTATGGAAGTAGATAAAAATCATCATAGGAGCTATGTTCCATACCCCAGAGCTTTTTTATTTGTATCATGCAATCATGATGTTATTATGGATTATTAGATATACATAAATGGCTTTTTTTTATTATGCCTATATCAAATATTAAATTTATTTTAGAATAGTACCACAAATTGAACTTATGGAAATATAATTTATAATATAGAATGAACCAGTTTTGTTACTTTTATTTTTAATGATAAAAACTGATTTTTTAATTTTTATAATAGCCATTTTGTGCCCTTTTTTTATGAAAAATTCCTATGATAGTATTAAAATATTTGTTTTCTTATTTATCTAAATGAGATACAAATTCGGAAGGAGTTGGCATTGGATAGGGAAATTTGGAAGCAAATTTGTTGGACAGACGACACGGTCTAAAAGAACGAAGTCACGGAAGAAGAAGAAATGTGATATAAATTAAGTATTTTTTAACTAGTTATTATATCTAGATAAATTTAATTAGATATAACTAAATACTGCATACACTACCAGTCAAATGTTTAAGTTCAATTGATTTATTTTTTAATCCTACTCAAGTTATTGGTTATACAAACAAAAAAATGTATACTACAAAAAACTAAAATATGAAAAAAGTTTAATAATTGTAAAAATTGACATATTTTATTTAGAAATGTTATTTTTTTTAATAATGCAAATAAATGACATAAATTTAGAAAAATCTCAGTTTTTTACATTTTATGGTAACTACGAGATGAACTTTTAACTGGTACTGCAAAAACAAAACAATAGAATGATATTGATCTCAAGTTTTTAATATTATAATTAATTTTTCACTTAATTTATTATATTTAAAAACAAAATGTGAAAATAATCTCTACTTTAATTTCAATCATTAACATGGATAGAAACCAGTAACATTTTTAACAACTTGGGCTTCATCTTTAGATGATACTTCTTGATAAGCATAAAATTCCATAGAAAATGAAGCTGCACCAGATGTGATTGTTCTAAGATCTTTAGAATAGCCCAATAATTCAGCTAGTGGTACATGAGCAGATATCACCTGACACATAAAATTATTTATTTAATTTCTTTAAAACAAAATAATATTTTTCACAGTTTTGTTTCATCTTATACTTTATTTACAGAATAAAAATGTTGTACCAGAGTGGTAAAAACCTGTTTTATAACAATTTTACGATTTTGAAATTATTCATTTAAGTTTTTAGTTAAAAATATATTGTGTTGAAAGATAATATTTGTAGCTAATCTAGTTAAATTTTAAGTTCATTGAAATCCATGGAAGATATTTTTTTAACTGCTCTCCAAAACATTACATTTTTGCTTTCTTGAAACAGAATTATTTGGTCTCAGCAAAATATTGTCTTTTTTATAAAAAAAAAAGGACTAACTTAATTGCTCAGAAAATACAACTGCTCTAATAATTTAGATATATTGTCAATTTAACTCATAAAAAAAAATATTATAATAAAATATTTTATTTATGGGTAACATTAAAATAAATTAATATTAAAGTCAAATAAATTAAATTAAACTCTTGAAGTGCATTTTTATAAATATAAATTTAATCTTATTTCAAATTATTTTTATTACATAAATTAATATTATATTTGTAATTTATATTTAATTTATTTTTATGAAAGCTATTGTTTGTGTTGATGGGATGATGGGAAAACCTAAATAGCTCAGAACAAAGAAATTGAATTTCAGTATGAATCAATACACAATGCATTTCCTACTTAGATATATGTCACCTGAACAAATGAAAAATAAATATATGAAAATTCTTTTACATTTTATTGCATCTTACCCGATTATTTGACCTAATAATTATATCTTGTATTGATCCTCTTCTACGTCCAAAATCAGATAGCACCACAGATGAATTCTGTTCGTCAGTTACAACTTCAACACTCATGATTGGTTCTAACAGTTTTGTTCCAGCAGATTTCAATAACTAATTTTAATTATATATTAAATTTATAAAAAAAAATTATTAGAAATTAAAATACTTTATGAACACATTGATTCACAGCTGAACTTAAAACTGTATCAGACGTCCCCTTGCCTAATTCTAACCAATGAAGAATAAATCTAACATTATTCACCTAAAAATATTAGTCACTAATCAATCAACAATTTCAAAAATCTATAAGCTATATTTATTTAAAAAAAAAGGTTATAACATATAATTTTCAAAAATTACTTACTGGGCACCCAAGTTTTGGTCCATGTGTTAATGCGGCTTTTGCACTTGATGTAATGACATTTAATTTATTTAAGTGTATTGCAGAAGTATTAGAAGCATTGTCAGGGCTATTATCTAATGATATAAGTTTCTTATTGGGTTCAGCTTCTAATAAAGACATTATTACATAAGCGCTGTGAAATGTGGAACCTATTTTTTAAAATTTAATTTGTAGTATTGATTATTACTAAATAAAGTGACATATAAAAATACCTATTTTTAAATCAAGTTTATGTGATTCTTTAGCAGTTGTTAATATACCTTCTTTATATGAAATCTGAGGACGACTAAGATCAATATCAATTTTATATTCAGTTTTAATTCTTTCACCAATGATTTCTAGATGTAGTTCACCCATACCTAATCTAAAATTAACTTAAACTATTCGAAACATTTTATTAATTATTTCATAAATTAGTTTACCAGCTAAAATAGTTTGACCGGTTTCCTCATCATACTGCACTTTCAAGCTAGGGTCTTCTCTTTGTAATTGTTTTAATGCATTTTCTAAAGCTAATTGGTAAGACTAAAATATACATAAAAAACAAAAATAACAAAAATAACAAGCTCATATTTTAATAAACTGAATTTAATTTTCATAATGTTTATAAAATAGTATATTTTCTATAGCTTAGATTTTTTACAAGAAAGCAAATTTCATAATGTTAAATTTGCTAATACTTAAATAGACTAAAATCTAGTCTTTATATAAAAGAGACATTGTGACCAGTGTTGTGTTTATCACTGCCTAGTAGGCTTGGTTCTATCCTATTTTAAAAGTCAACTCTGATAGAGACAACCCTATCAATTAAAATTTAATTGTATTAAACAACCAATTAAAATTATGAATATCAAAAGTGTTTTTGAAAAAAATTAACTATGTGTACTCGGGCCCTTTATAAAGGCTTGGGTCCTAGTACAGACCTAAAATTGGTCTACCAAAATTTTTTTATACTCAAATAATGATTAATGAAAGTCATTAAAATATGATTTGAGGTAGTGTTGTTATCAGGATTTTAGTTAATGACATCAGTCACTAATACAACAACCAATATTTGTCAATTGTGTGTTAGATATATCATAAATAATTCATTAAAATTAAAAAAATTTTTTTATATTTAAATTAATCCTAGGAATTCTTAATGAAACTAAAACCTATTTTTCATTTAAAATATGAATATTTAAAAAGACTATATGACATATTAAACTTAAAAATTGAAAAAAAAAAACAAGGATCTTTTAATGATTGATACTATTATCTAATATTGAATCACAAGATTTTTTATAAAAATAACTTTATTTTGATTTTTAGTAATTAATAATAATAATAAACATCAAAATTACTATTAAAAAAATTATTTATAGAGTGACAATTTGCTTTTAATTTTTTTTATATTAATATACTTATTTGTAAGATATAATTCAATAAAAAGAAACTTACTTGAGAAGGAGGCTCTATAGAACAGAAAAATACAGGATCTGGCACATGTAAGTCAACTCCAAGTTTTTGGATAGATTCATCTTGTGTTAATTTATTAGATATTGCTAATTTGTTTAGAGCACTTTTTAATGCATTACCACTACTTGTTAAAAAGTCACCGCATATTGTGTTCTAATAAAAGTTTTTTTTTAATGAAAGATTCCAAAAATAAATATTTTTTTTTCTAACTCTATGAATAAAAATAAAATAAATTACCTTTAATCCAGTAACAGCAATAATAGCACCAGCTTGTGCATTTTCAACTTCTTTATAATCATCTGCATAAGGAATCATTACTCGTCCTATATTTTCAGACTTTTTTTGTGTAGCATTGTATAGTTTTTGACTCTAAAATAAAAAAAGTTATAAAGTACTATACAAATTTATTTAAATCATACATTAGCTAATTAAACTAGAATGCCAATTCTTATTACTATAGTGCAAATTTTATTTCTAAATCTTCTAAGAATTAACTAATATATATATATATTTATTCAAATAAAAATAAACCAATTTAAAATAAAAATCAATTATTTTTAAAGACCCAGTTATTTTATTGAAATTTGCAAAAAACAAATTAAACAACCTTAAAATTTAAATTATTATTAAGATTGTTTAATATATGTATAATGAACTAACGGCAGTAATTTTGATATAAATCAATGTGTTTAAATATACAATCAAAGAATCTGATAAAAATTTATTTTCCTTGAATTAAAAAGACATAGCTCTTTTTAGCACCAAGCAAATTATATTTAACAGTTACTTTAATATACTTAATAATAATACTTTTTAGCATAAACTATTGAAACTACATCAATGAAATTTTTATAATACTTGTTTATGCAAGTATTATATATAGAAATTGATTTATTTAAAAGAATTCAAAATTTTTCTCATAATCATAGACATATATATGGCTACATTATTAAGATTTTTTATAAAGAAAATTACTACCTTTTCTAATTTTCCAGAGTACATTCTTAAAAAAGTTATTGGTCCTTTTTGTTTTTCATTAACTACTTTAAATGCTCTAGCAGACATTGAAGATCCAAATACTTTAAAAATATCTAAAGTTATGCGCTCATTTGGAGATGGCAGAAAATTCACAATACAGTCCATTAAAGATTGAACACCAATATTTTTATAAGAGCTACCACAAATTAGAGGAACACCTTTCTACAAACAACACACCATAAATAAATTAAATGTGGTATTATATCAGTTAAATTCAGTTGATAATACTTGTGTTACACTAATTCGTCTTAAAGATGCCATTAATTCATCAGTTTTTATTGAATCAATACCATCATTTGAATTTAAAAATAAATGAGCTATAGTTTCATCTATATCAATTATATCACCTATTAGTTTTTCTCTAACCCTAAGCATTGTTTCCCATGTTTTGGTGTTCTCTTCAATTGTAGATGAAACTATTTTTTGACCACTTGCCCCATGCCATGTTAATAAAGTTTTAGTTATAACATCAATTAACCCTAATAAACGACCACTATTATCTTAAAAAAAAAAAAAAAAATACTATTAACATTATGATGTAAATTTAATGTTAAAAAAAATTACCTTTTACTGGTATTTGAAGTTGCAGTGGAGTTATACCAAATTTTGATTTTAGAAGGTCTATGCATAATGGTAATGAAGCATCAGGACGATCCATTTTATTAGCATATACAATCCGTGGTATTGCATATCGATCAGCTTGTCGCCATACAGTTATAGTTTGTGCTTCAACCCCTAAAAATTAAAAACTACAATGTAATTTAAAAATATAATTAGGTATTATGTAGTTAAAAATTAAATTGCAATTTATCATTACCTGCTGAGGAGTCTAATACAATAACTGCTCCATCAAGAATATTTAATGTTTGTTCTACTTGCATAGTGAAATCAATATGACCAGGGGTATCAATAAGGTTAATTTTATGATTTTTCCATGGTAATGTGACTGCAGCAGAAGTTATTGTAATACCTTAAGAAAAGAATTACCACAGGATTATTATATAATAGTAATCAATCAAATTTTAGATTTTACCTCTATCTCTTTCCTGATCCATGTAATCAGTTACAGTGTTTCCATCATGTACTTCCCCCATACTGCGAATTATACCAGAGTAATAAAGCATTCTTTCGGTTGTTGTAGTTTTACCTATAAATTAAAAAATAATTGATATCATGTTGTAATATTTTTGTTTTTAATATAGAAAAAAATATAAAGTGGTTCATAAATTATAAAAAGTTAATTAAATCTGTCCAAATCATATAAATCTTTTTTGTTATTTTTATATATTTATAATCAAAACTTGTAATTACAAGTAAAATGTAGTTACATGAATTTTGAGTAATTAAAACTATTTTAGTTTTTTATTCAAAACTACTACAATTGTACATTAGTAAGACATAAATTAATTATTTAAAGGTTTAATTCAATAATTGTATCATCAATGGTCAGCTTATCTTTTCAAAATCAACATGTTAAATTTATTCAATTTAAAGTACAAATTAAATTAATATAGTAAACAAATTCCATACCAGCATCAATATGAGCTAATATACCAATATTTCGTAATAAAGACAAATCATTTTTACTTTGACTGTAATATCGGCATAAAGTGGCATAAATACATTGTTTTATGGTTGGAAATGAAATTTGCAACATTCTGAAAAGGTATAATATAATATTACAATTTATTGTTTTCAATAAAAGATTTTAATTTTAAGCCTAAATTAGTATAAACAATTAAAAACTATAAATTTTTTTTTTTCGAATAACAACCTCCAAAACATTTTTTTTTATTGATGTATTTAATTTTAATACTCTAAAATATATTTTGGTGCATGCAAATTTAAAAATCCACTCTATTATCAAAATAATACCAAAGTTACAGAAGCTATACACCAACATTAAGTAATAACATTACATTCAAAAAGAGACAAAAATGTTATTTTATTTCAGATGAGCAATTTTAAAAATTTTAGATGCATTGAAATGTATTGAAAATAAATAATTCAATCTACTATGAAGCAATTAAATATTGAGTTTATGATATAACAATTTTGCTAGGATATACTACTCTTTTGTGGCATTTTGCTACAAGCATAACTCAAAAACGTCATATTTTATTAAAGTATAATGCTGTAGAAAAAAATGAGTAATATATCTCAAAGTGTAATTATTTCAATTTTTACCATATTTAAAATTCAGATGATTACACTTTATTAAAAAAAAACCTATTAAGATTATAAACTAGAAAGCAAAAAATCTCTAGTATTATTTATACCTTAGTCTATACCAACAGCTAATTTGTAAAATTTTAGAAGAATAAGTTTGATCTTATCCAAAGTTACTTAAAATATTATGTCTAATTTTTTATAATACTATCTCAATAAATATTGAGTTTTTTCTTTCTACTTTTACATAAAATTATGGATTGATTAATAAGTAATATACAAAATATAACAATTAAATTAATATAAGGGTTTTAAAATTTAAAGACAATATTTAGATTTTTTATTATGTTGAGATTTTTTACAGAAAAAATCTTAATGTCAAATTTAGTCAATACTTAAATATCTCCTGTATATTAGCCTTTTTTCATTTGTAAATTTTAATTAGAATATCACTTTATTAATATTTGTAATACTGTTGCTACAATAGAATTATAACATAAATTATATAAATGCTATTATTTAACATTATAAGTAAAATTTATTAATATTTTATTTCATAAATGTTTTCAACTTATGTTAGACGTAACAAACATTTAATGAAAAATAAAATTTTTAAATTGTTTACAATAATTACCTGTAATTTTAAATGAGTGACTAGTTTTTACATAACATATTATACAAAGTTGCCTTGGTATAATACATTATATTATATGTGAACTCCAATGTCTTACATATGTGATTTCATATTTTTCTTTTTTCATTGAAAGTAAATAATTTAGTTAAATTTTTTTATATTTTTAGTATTAACTTAACTTGAGTATGAATAACTAACATTACAAGAATTTAAATTTCAAATAACAATGAAAATAATTTTAAAAGAAAACACGTTTCAAACGGTATCACTTATTTCATATCGTTAAAATATCTTACAATCTCTTACGACAAATGAAATACAATAGATAACTAAATTGCAGCGCTATCTTTAAGCTTATTACAGCATTGATGTGCAATAATAGAAGTATTTTTATAAATATAAATCAGTTTGACTGCATCTAGTTTCCGTCTTAAGAATAGTTACAAATTCTTAGAATTCTAGTCAAATGTGTACTGTAATTTCTACTCATGATGTGTTAATACATTTTCAAAGTATGATTAATATGTGATGTCTCAAAACTAGTGTTGGGTAACAGGAATATTCCCGACAGCAAAAAATAAAAAATGGGGTAAATAATGTGTTAATACCTGATAAATATGTTACAGTCAAAGTGGAAAAATGGTCATTGTTTACAATGACAAAAACGAAATAGGCTGAATAACATGTTAAAATAAAAATAAATATTGCATTTATTTATTAGTTATTTTATTTATTAAATTTTATTAATTATTAAATATCGACTTCATTTGAATATCTTAAATACAGATATGTAGATATTAATTTCAATATGAAAAATAAGACTATATATATGAACCATTTATCATAAACCACTTAATTATTCGTAGAATATATACTATATAGCGAAAATTTTTTTTGTTTTTTTAGTTTTACATATTTCTTGATTTATTATCTAATTACTTATAAACATCATCCCTTATAACTTATAGGGGGTGAAAACTTAATTTTTTCAAATAGCAATATACATATTTTTAACTATCTTATAACACAGAAAATGATGGCAGGGAGGAATAAAATTACTCTTAAAATTCTAACGCAATGCCTAACTTTACGTGAGAAATAAAATTTCGAAAAATTACTTTTCCCAAAATTTGAGGACACTGTATACATTGCCCGAGCATCCTATTCAACACCCGTTTTATCAACATATATATCTTGTTCGAAATAAGATATTTATTGTTTTGAAAAATATCACTGTAATTTTCCAAAATATAAGTGGCTTATAAGTCAGCTCTTTTGAGTTATGTCTTTATAAAGTCCTATTATAAAATTGTAACTCAATAGTAATAAAAAAATATTTGTTTTAATTAATTAATATTTATAAAATATACATAAATAATTTTAATGTACAATAATTGAAATTAAATATGAACATTACATTAATAATTATGATAATAAAAAGTTGGTTATCACAGAATATAAATTTTATGAACACAAACAATACGTATTTTCCAATTCCTGTGTAGAAATTGAAGTTTTAATAAGATATAGATTTTAATGAGTAGTGGCGTTGAACTCATACATTGGTTTAAGGCTTCAACTTATAGCGATTTTGAATATTAAATTTTTGATAGAACAACCGATATATTTAAAATTTATTAATAATGTTATCAATATATTTCTGTTTATATCAACAAATTTATATCAATCAACAAGTGACGATATTATTAGATATGATCATATTGATTTCTACAATATAATATAATAGTTAATAACTATTACTTTATAATATTAATAAATTGAAAATTTGAAACTCTACGACTGTAAAATTTAGAAACTTTTAAAACTACATATTTTTTTTAGGTAAATATCAATTAATTTAAACAAGGAAAAATGTAGATTAATAGTTCAATTTAACAGATAATGAACTTAATCAATGTTTCTATATTCTTCAAAAGATCGTACAAAAAAAAAAAAAACAGAAAAAAGGTTCTTATACATTGACAACTTTTTTTATATTTTATAAATAGAGTTATGATCTTAAGTACTCCTTTAGTTATATATTTTGTAAGAGAACATTTTTCAGCTTTAATTTTTGATGAAATATTTTGTTTGGTCATTACAATTTTCTGATAGCGTGTGACATGTTCAACATTTGGTTTTTCTTTGTTCAAAATCTCTTTAACTGCTGCTAGTTCTATGTTTTCTTCGCCATAATTCACTTGAATTTTCTATGAACTTTTGAAATCAGCAAACTACAAAATATTCAACATTTTCAAGACTTAGTAAATGGATATATTACGAAATACCTAAGCGTGTTCAGATTTTTCACTGATACATTAGTAATGCTATTGCATTTAATTATGTTCGAGACTTCATAATCTAGTGTAGTTAATATATTTTGTCTAATAGAATTCCTAATTCAACACTGTAGAAATACTTATGCTTATCGTACCAGAAAAACTAGAAAATACTTTTAATACAGGTTAAGCTTCTTCGAATGAGAACTTACCTCCTGAATTGGACATGTTGACATAATTACTTTACACAACAGATTAACACCGACTTTTTTGTTGTATTAAAGAATACATATTTGAAAATTACGTTTGGGAATATTTTGACAATTACAAAGATTGAATAAATATTATAAAATTTAATATGAAAAAAAAATGAATTTCTTTAATTTAAATGTATTTATAAAACTAATACAAGCCAATAATTTTTTTATGATAACTATTTTAAAAATACGTATAGTAAAATTCAAATATTTTACTACAAAGAATACTTAAAATGATACATTATTTTTTCTGTTTAAAAATATAATATAAAAAATATTTTTATAATTAGTGTCTAGGGCTTATTAATATAGGCTCGTAAATATTATAATCTGATACTATTCAAGTATAAAAATAAAATAATGTTCAAGATAATTAAATAACAGTATTATAAAATGAATTTTACACACATTTAGCTTACTAGTTTTACAGTATCGAAAAAAATGGAAAAACTTATAACATTTTCTTTATGATAATTTTTTGAATTATACTTATGTGATATTAGTGATAGGAATATGTTAAGAATTCTTTTTAAAGATATTACAAGATTTTTTTTTAAAACCTCTCTTTCGACAAAAAAAAAAATCAAATTTCAAACAAAAAAGTTTGGCCAACATTCAAGTTAAGAAATCTTTTTATTTAAGTCAAACATAAAAATAGTTTTATTTAAAAATTATACATAATTAGATGAACAAATTTAGAAGAGAAAAATTGTGTTTGTTATACCATAGCATCCCTGCTAACTGAATGGGGTGAACCGGTTGTTACAGATTGCTTTTTGTGCAAGTGGCCAAACCTGATTATCTCTTATATATTCTTAGCCATTGTCCCTTTTTACTGTGTTGTATTAAAACAAGTTTATATATAACAGAGAACAGATCGTGATTTATATACTTATATCTGGTAGCTATGTGGCGAACGTTATTTGCTTTTTTTATTCATATTAGACTTCATAAAAGGATGCTGTATGATGACAGTTACGTTTAAAAACACCTGGCTTTTAGAACAATTGTCCAACGACTATAACGGTTTAAAAAGTTAAAAAAATGTATTTTATCGAATGAAAATGTAAAAATTATACTTCAGTAACATATTAATTTATGAAATACGACATAATTTAAGTATTAATATGTGAAAATACTAGTTAATTACTAGATACCTAACTTATTTTATTTTAGTATAATATTAATATTACAGTATTATGTCAATATAATGTAATTCTACACTTATAATGACAACACATACAATTTCACGCAAACATTCTGTGATGCAAACCAATGTATGTAAATCTGTTTACAATATCAAAATAAGATGACAGATTGAAGTATTCACTACAGTGGTTTATATATATCAACCTATATACTCTAATAATAATTAAGTATAAAGTTTAGAAACCGTTTAGAAAGGGCTTTGTGGTCTTTGAAATGTTGTAAAGTTTGTACAAAAAGGTACTGGGTTAATATATCCATGTAATATATATATATATGAATTTTCGGGAATGGCATATAAGGACATGGCATTCTTGAAATTGAGAAAATATATTATAGATCGTACATTTCATAAGAGTAGTTTTAGAGTATTTCTAGAAATTATTACATCGAATAATGAGTTCAACCTAAAGAAAAACAAATATTATTCATTATTAATATATAGACTATAACTTAAAATACTACTGCATTTCTTATGTATGTAAAATCTTAGAAACCATAATGATATGTTAAGTAATAACGTCCACAGAATAAAAGAGACATAACTGATTATGTATTTTTGATTTACTTATTATTTACGGTAATGTTCATTGAATTATCTATATTTCGAACAGCTAAGCCATAAAATTAAACTCGTTTTACATTAAAAAATCATTTACTTCACGAAGTTTGAACACAACATGTACAGCGGTTGCCGTAAAATCTATTTCAGAAGGGGCCGTTTTCCAAATGTAAAAAAAATATTAATACTTAACAACCATGGCGCGAAGAACGCGAGCGGAAAGACATTTTTATAGCGCTAAACCCCTCCGTTGAAATGAGAAAAAACAAGGGGAATAAAGAAAAGAAAAAATAGCCACAGCGCGGTGGTAATTCGAGTGGTGGAAGCTCAAAATATGGAGACGTTAGGGTGCATGACGATTGTGTAGGCTATGCAATACAGTACATACATACATATATATATATATATATAGACAAGCGAGCACGCATAAAGTACAAGAGGGTGGCTGCCGCCATTCATTCAGACGGAGGATACTTCTGGGTGCGCTTCTAAGATGTTTCGGCTATGCCCGCCGGTTTCCGTATATTTCAATTTACGGTTCAACTTAGACGGCCGGGTGCGCACATATATAAACTCGTGTTTCCTCGGCCAGTGTCCCGCACTTCAACCCCCTTTTCCGCAACCCCTGCAAAGTCTCTGGTATACATACTCTTTTCCGCTATTCCGCCTCGTTCCGCTGTTGGTGGAGCGCCCTCGCAGTACGTCGCGGTCTTTAATTAATTGGCAAACTTTAATATACTCTTCCCGTTTTATTTATATATACGCACATAGAAACAAGTTCTTAACCGTATACGTCGCCGGCGAAGTTCTGTGTACTTACAAGACGCAACCGGTGTACCCCTCAGCGATCGGCAATTTAGTATTGTTCAAATAATAGAATTTTTTATTGCGGCCCACATTTTTGTCTCCCATTTTTCCGTATGCATCAGAACGACCGTTGAATACGACTTAATTATTTTTTAG